GGAGTGTGGGGTAATTGGGCTGTTTTTGGCCAACGAAGGGGAGGGTGGGTTTCGGTGATGGGTGGGGTGGGGTGGGGGTAGGGCGTCCTCCGTGGTGTCGAGAAAATTAAAGTCGTCAGCTGAAGATTGATGGGCGTAGGGAAAAATATTTTCATCAAAGGTGACGTGACGGGAGGGGCTGTGCTGCGCTGCTGCTGCCGCCGAGGAGAGGAGGACGGCGGGTGGTGTGCGGTGCTGGAAGAGAGCACGCCGAGAGGGAGAGAGCACGGGTAAGGTTAGGGTTTTTGGGTTTAGGAAGATGGCTCTGATACCATGAATAATTATGAATTTCCTTAAACAATAATGTGGGAGTACATGTGTTTATATACACAAGCTATTCCTAATCCTAATCATGGTAGGATTCTATAATAGGAAACAATATACATACAATAAATATAGAATATATATTTAACATAAATATAGAATATATTTAACAAAGGGTATGGTAAAAGTGTTCAAAGCTTCGGCACCTTCCATCGGTTTAGAAATTTTTTTCCAAAGCTTAAGAAAATTCATAAATCCAAAATCTTCAGGAAATCCATCGGTTCAGATGTATGTATGTATGTACTCTTTTTGCAAATTCTTTCAATGCTTAAGCAAATTCATAAAATCAGAAGCTTTGGTAAAATCAAGGATCTAAAATCTGTTTCAAAGCCTTAGCAAACTGTTCCAAAGCTTTAGGTAGTTTCAGAAGCTTTCGTAAAATCACTGATCCAAAAAGTTTTGGCAAATCCATAAAATTCAGTTATTCAATCTTGCAAATTCAGAAAATACAAAAACTTTTAGCAAATTGTTTCAGAGCTTTAGTAGAGAGGATCACGAGGGATAATAGCAGAAGATAAAATCAAACCTTTATCCCCAGCACGGCAAGGCGTGCGCTCGTCCGATGAGGCTAGATTCCAGAAACAGTCGCCAGCCCGAGATGGGAAGACAACTCTGCAGAAGGCCGCTTTTATTTATACCAATTGCCAAATTTGTCAAATCCTTTAATATATTGATACCCGTTTGTTTGTTAGAAATTAGCATGTCAAAATTTAGGATAAATAAAGAATTTATTACTTCCGGACATCAGTTGAGTACTTATATTTTTATTTTTAAAAAGAAATTCATTTATTTATTTGTTATGCTGTGATGAAATTAATTATGTTATAGAATCAAATTTGTGAAAGATAAATATAGTATTGTCCAGAATAAAATTATTAAAGGAAAACAATTATATAAAATATAGTTATATAATAAAACTTATTATGTTGTAGCAAAAAATTAGTGAAAAAATAAAATTGGTATTATCACTGACCATTTCTAGACTAGCATTTTTTATGAATCAATTTTTTAACTAAGTGCATATACAAAAAAACAAAATTTTGATAATGATCTATTTTCATTTAAAAGTATTCTTATAGGAAAGGATCAAATATGTTTATAATTGATCCTTTATTTATAAAATTGATATTTTAATCTCTAAGAAGCTGACATTTGGTATTGTTTACGAGATATTTCTGACACGTAAAATATATTATAGAAAGTAAGAAATTAATACTATGGTGTGAAGTCATTTAGTACAATTACATATGGAAGAGATTAGCTGAATAGAGATATTCGTTTTTATAATAAATTATTTCCTAATTATGCATATTTTTCTATTCAATCATTACAAAACTTTTAAAGGTGTGTTTGGTAAGCAAACAAAATATGAGTTTTGATATCTCTAGATATCCAAATCCTTTTCTGGTATTTCATGAAATTTAAGTTTAAATTAAATCAAATTTAAATTCATTTAGACTAGATCCTAATCAGATAAAATCAAATCCGATCAAACTCAATCAGATCAGATCAAAACTTTAAAAATTTAGATCAGATTCAATCAGATCAAGCGTACAAAACAGAGCCTTAGTCTTTGTCTAACGGCATTGAGACGGTAAAATAGACAAAAGACCGAACATGGAATGGTACTCAATTAATACGGACTATTAACATAATATTTGATAAATACTCCCTCCATCCCTAAATAAATTACAATTTTTTTTCTCTCCTCTTGATAACTTTTGTTTGGATACGCGATTTCATTAAGTATTTGATAAAATAAAATATATTCTTGTCACCTCTTATTTTGTAGAAATTTTGACACAGTTTTATACTCGTAATATGTAATTTTTATACGGAGTATCTTATTGATATACCAATTTGTAAATAAAATGATCTCAAAAAGAATGAAACTTTACTTCATAACCCGCAATTTGTATTCTATTTAGGGACGGAAGGAGTATGAACTAAATATGGAAAACCCTTAGTTATAAAGAAATATTTAGATAATTTACTCAAAATAAAATTAAATTTTACAACAGACATGGGTTACAGGTACATATACAATTGTACGGGGGACTTTCATTTTTTTTCGTGATTCATATTAGGATCATCAGGTAGCCAGAGAAGGCCCGAAATACATGCAGATGGGCGGGTTGATCTTGAAAATGGAGAGAACGGCAGACGGAATAGTCCAGATCCCATCACCACATATCAAACCTGAAGCAACAGCGGCAGCATAATCGTCGGCATCCTTCCTGTTTATCCTCTCCCACACGAACAAGATCACAGTCCCAACGAACATGTCGATCCCAAAATAAGCTCCAACATAGAATGGGACTGCCATTGCCATTGGAATGGGAATGAACTGTGATACCTTTGGCGGGGCCAGATCCCTCACTAGGTTTATGGCCACAGCTGCCACAAAGAATCCACAGCACATAGCCATGCAATGTTTAGGGAGTTCAGAGAAGCCCTGAACCCCGAGAATGGCCATTTCTCTGAATATGATAGCATATGGGGCTTTGTACGGACTGCCTGGGGAGCCAATGTCGAACGCATTCCAAAACATAAAGAATGTGAGTGGAGCAATGACACATCCCATTGCTGTGCCCACCACCTGACTGATGAACATTGATTTAGCCGATGAGAGGGTGAGGTAACCAGTCTTGAAATCTTGCATTAGATCAGCAGCGGTAGAGACTATGGACATCATCACCCCACAACCAGCTAGAGCGGCTATAACCCCACCCTCACTTCCAACCAATGAAGCGATCGTGAAAAGACCAATCTTTCCGTAAGTTGAGGCCAAACTCCAGTCTGTGAGTCCTGTACCATAGGAATTGCAGAAGGCGAGGGCAGGGGCAAATATATAGATTAAAAGGACAAGATACCACTTAAGTGGAGGGAAGATATTTGGCATTGTGGCTGTAGATATAGAAGCCAAAACTACATATCCAGAAGCTGCAACCCATAATGGTATTCCATCTTTCAGAAATACATCTCTTTTCTTCTGCTCAAGTTGTAGCTTGGAAGTATCACCATCTGCAGATGCATCCAATGGAATTGTCAAAGAATCACAGAAGCTTCAGAAGAAAATTTAACTGCAGTAATGGACATTCGGATACAGGCAGCTGGTAGCAAAACACAAAGCCACAAAGGCCTTATGTATTGAGTACTTCAAATTGATTGGGCAGTTGCAGTTGCCTCAAGTCCTAAACCGAGAATTGCCCTCGGATTAGCCAAGGTCTTTAGTAACACTGGAGCAGAGTTGGGTGAAAGCAATTCAGAGCATCTGGGTTCATATTCAAATTTCAAAATAATGATGCAAGAAACCGTAATATAGGAGCGACAGCAGCAACGATTGGACGAGATAATTGGCAATGTAGGGATATAGCCTCCTCGAGAAGGTATAATAGGTCAATTTTCAGATGTGCTAAATAAAAATGTGACTTGTGTGCAAATTGTGCAATGAGCGGGATAATCTACAGATCTATCATTATTATCTAGAGCTATACTAAGACCATCCAAAGCAATTATTACAGGTAGCGAAGGAAAAGTTTCATCAACCTTCACCTGAGAGCTCCTTGATCATAGGAAGACTATACTGGTTGCAGCTATTTCTGCACATTTCTCTTGCAGTTATTACAATGATCTTAATCAGGTTATAAAGACCATCACCAAGAATAAGGGAAATGGATATAAACACCTGCAAACAAATACACAAGCGGCAAAATTATCATTTCTCTTACAGTTGCAGGAAATTAAGCATATTCTGGCATCATGCTTCTCAGTTAAATCACTTTCTAAGGCAAAGATTTGGGTAAAAACGGTTCTGTTTGAGATGGTGCTACATGGAAACAGAAATTTCTTGCAAAAGAAATTGGGCCAGGAAACCGAACATTTACTCCAGGATCATGTCCAATCGAATTTACCTTATACCCATAGAGACCTTTAAAATCATTGCTCTCAAGATTTGATGGATACCAATCACCAGCATACTGAGAAATAAATGGCCAAAGGAAACCCCACGATATAATTGATCCAAGAAGAACTGAACAGTTGACTATGTGAGGACAGATAAGACCACATCCAACATATGTAGGACTGAAGTCAAAATAAAACCTGCATCATATGGCACTGTTTAACAACTATAAGACCAAATATTACTACATGGGTAGCAAATACATGATCTTGAGATTTTGTGGCAGTATCACATACATGATGTTGAGCCAATTAGAGAATTTAATCGCAGTATCACTCCCTACGCATCAACACTGTATTTCCTAGATTGGAGTATATTGATAAATATATTAAGCATACTAAATCGTCTCCTTACAGCAACACACCACATTAATTTCACTATCAAATCAAATGAGCAATGCTATTAGGATTTATGCATTGAAGGATTTAGAAGTCGAATCATTGTACTAGAACATGTATTGTGCCTTAGAATGTGGGTTCCAAACTAAAATGTTAGAAGTTGATGCAAGAGATGAAAAAGAAAGGTATTTATAATTTGTGTCTTCATAGAATATTAGCACGCATGCACTCAAGCTTCCTTTGTATGAAAAAAGAGCATCTACTTTGCTTGGGCTTTGTTTCTTAAACCCAAAGTGAGATTTTGACAAATTCATTACTAATACCTTTCCTGTATAGTGTATACCAATGAATAAGGCATACTTGTTATGCAACTTTTGGGTACTGAATTAAGCTAGAGAGAGAGAGAGATGATGATGATGATGGCCGATAATGACGTAGGACAGACATTTTAAGACGTGAATGACACATTGACACCAAAAGTAATTTCAAACAATGAAAGAGATGAAGGAAAGGCTGCAGCTCACGTATTCTTAAACAATAGCAACCCGAGGGTTGGAAAATTGTCAAAGCCACAGGAATCACCAATACCACTAAAAAACCATTTGAAGCAGCTCCAGCAGAAACTAATGCTCAGGTACTTTCCTAGACAGCTTACTTGTTTCCTGCAAAACAATGCTACAAATGTAACATAATGATCAAGTTAAACAAGTACATTCAAGCATTTCTTTTTCCATCTACATCACATATTTCATTCAACGCTTTGTAGAAGTTAAGAGATCTTGCCGTGCAAGTTCGGCTCCAGTACTTGTGTGGAAGCTATTTATTAGCATTGCTGTGGCAGTACCACTGGGGTAAATTAGTTTATTATCCAAAACCATGACCTGAAATAAAAGAGTGGTTGAAATGAAGGAATCTTAGAAATTTGATATAAACCCACAGAACATGTATTTGACCACAACTTCATCGCGAAAAGATATCTTGAAACAATTAAATCAGAAACCATAATAAGCTAAGGATACTGAATATTACTTTACCACATTAATTACGTGATATACTCTCACACTTAGTTCTCCAACGATGCATATCTCAGCAGACGGTATAACGTAGAGAACTAAAGATGATCAGGTGGATGAAAATAGTATTGGAGTAATTATTAATCACATATTACTAAGTGGTAAGCATTTTGAGAAAGTAGCACATAACAGTGTTGAATGTAAAGCTATAAAAGAACAGTGTATGGAGCACCTTGCGAAGTGGGACAACACTGAAAAGGCCAAGAAAACTGACAACAAATATGAAACCCATCATCCACAACAGCCCTGGATTTTTTACATCCTCTGCCCTATTGCCAGGATAATCTTGTCCAATCAGCTGGTATGTTTTCTCATCCATGGAAAGTAAATATGATCCAAATCCACCTGAAAATTATAATGCAACAAATCTGCTTTTAAAAAATCTAATTAAAGCATGCAATCAAGTAAATAAGCCCAAAAAGTCCTCAGCTTTCTTTTGTGAAGTGGCAAACAGATAGATAAATTAACTTCATTAATTACCTGTGATGCAGTGCACTTATATGCTGTATAATAAGTAAATAAATATGAGTATTATTTATTGATGACTGGGATGTTAAATTTAGCTTTATGGTGGTCGAGGTAGGCACGACATAAGCTATCCTAGTGAGGGTCCCGCGACATGGATTGATGTGAATGTGGGTGTTGGGGATAGGCGAATAGCTGTTAGTGTGGTCGGCACTTCAGCTCAATTCAGCTAGCCAAGCTCATAGCAACAACCAAATTGTACGAGTGCTATTCCAATTTCAAATGGATGTCTTCCTGAAGCCCGACTGTGAAGGATATGACAAGTAGAAGCCATCCGTGTGAGCCAAGACCGTCTCAAAGCAACGGGTTAGACACATCTAGTCTCCATTTTCTCTTCAGTTGTTGTTTATAAGGTTTGGGGTCAACTTGTTTCTCGTCCACCACTATTTGGGCAGAGAGGGTGTGTTAAGTATCAACATTGATGGTTATGAGAGAAGTCTAGTTTATAAGGTCTGGCAAACATCCACCACTTGAGGTGAAGTTAGACCAAATTAACACTAAGTAAAATTTATTATGTGGAGTTCTCTTGGCCGTTGAATGTGTTTTAATGCCTTTTCGTCAGTCCAAAGCACATGTGACTTTCCAACCCGTGATGAATGATTCGTTTTTCCCTTATTTGATTTTGAGGCAATTTGTCAGTCTTTTTTATGACATTTTGGTATACAGTAACAATGTTACTCAACGCTATTGGCATTTGATATTGGTTTTCCAGGTCTTGAAGTCCCATTCTTTCTATGCAAGTCATAAGAGCTAAGAAGTGCTTTCTCGGGCAGAAAAAGATTGAGTACATGGGACCATAGTTGTTACGGCGGCTAGGCGAGGCTGGGCGCTAGAGTACCTTCCAATCGCCTAGGCGATTAGGCGCCCGCCTAGGCGTCCGCTGGGCGAGTGGGCTATGGCGACCCTAATAATTTTATTGATACTGATGTAAAAGCATATACGATGAAATAATTAATTTTATAGGTATGAAATACATTACTTAGTATATACTTTGTAGAAAACAAGAATAGATAACACATTACTTTTAAAAAATATAAACTATATATCCTTAAAAAAATCCACAGTCAAAGCCTGTCTAAAAAATTCCGCATGTTTCACTCACAAAAAAATAAAAAATAAAAAAAAGAAACACTTTACTTTACCTAGTCTGTCGCTAGTCAAAGCCTCAGGGGTTTCCGTCAAAACCGAAGGGTCGCATACTCGCGTAGATCCGGAGAATTCACGAACGCAGGACAAAACCTAACGAATCTCCGTCGATCGCGATCCAATAGATTTACGACCTCACGATCTAAATCACAGATCCGGACAATTCCTATGGATTTTCGATGTTCCTTGCGATTCAGATCTCAAATCGACGCCAAATAGATGGCAAACAGACGCTAAACTGAAGCCTCAGTCGCCCAGGGAAGAAAAGGCTAGGCGACCAATTGGGCGTCCACAATACCTCGCCCAGACGCCTAAGCGTCGCCTAGGCGACGCCTTGATAACTATGCATGGGACATATTCTCTGAGGCAAGGGGTGGAGGTAATACATGAGCAGATCTCAACCGACAACCATCTCTGAATGGTCAGCATCAGCTAATGTAAAATAATTGAAGGGATTCCTTGGGTAAAAATGAAGAAGTTGAGCAGAAGATTCTTCATAGACCAAATGTGATTTTGGGAAAATCCTATACCATCGTTGCACTCCGATTTTGGGGGTAACAAAGAGAATACATGAAGAGTTAATTCAACACTTCCTGCATTAAGCTACATCTTTAAATCTTTCCCAAACAAATTAGAGGAATCAGAATGGAGATCTTACTTTGACCTCCCATGAAGACTAGGAGAAAGAGGAAGAAAAAAGTAAAGTTAGAATCATATTCAGATATCCTTTATGCATACGAATCTAGGTCAACAATTTTCCAGTTCTAGATTCTCCCACAGTCCAAGGAAGTCACCTCAAAGCAAAACAAAAAAAAAACAAAAACCCTCGAATTACAATAGAATGAGATTCGGGGACGGGAGAGGAATAATATCTGAATTACCGCTAAAAGCGAGGCCATAGCAAGCAACGACGCATGTCTGAATGACGGTATTCTCTTGCCTGGTGAAGGGCTGGACAGAGAAGTTGAATCTGGAGAGAAGACCGGTCCAAGTCTTGACGAAGAAGAAGCCGAGCAAACCAGCGGCGACATTGAGGGAGGGGATGATCCCAACTGTGAGATTCAGCTTGTGCGTGATTACACAGAACAGGGTGCCGAGCGCGGCGCTCACCACCAAACCCC